CATGGGGGGACCCCTGCCAGCCCCTCTGACTCCCCCCACTCCTCCAGCTCCCCTGACCCCTGCCTGCTTCCCCAGCCTGCCCCCCGCCAATATAGCTGCCCCTGGCATTGAGGTCAGTGGGGATCGCCCCCTGCCCAGCAGCACCTGCTTTTTTTTAACAAGTGCCATGAGCTGGGGCAGGCAGGGCAGCCATTGCCGGGCTGGGAGAGGGGCAGGGGATGGGCCTGCCTGATTTGGAGATTTGGAGAATCAGATTCAGCCAAACTGAATCGGGTTGGTGATTCAAATACCGAATTGAATCACTGTCCCCCAAATCAGCCAAATCCAAATCCAAAGCGAATACTAACCACCTCGCACAGGCCTACTGCACAGTAAGTGGCTTTTACACCGGTGTCTAGATGTGCAGAAATTACAGTGCAGCAATGCTGTGCATGGACTGACGTGGGATCAAATTTTGTCCCAAGTCAGTGCACACAAACAGGGTTACTGTGCAGCAAAGTGTCTACAGGTGCCTTACTGCGTGGTAACTACTCGGGCATAAATTTGCTACCTGCATGATGCATGGTTAATGCGCAGTATGGATGCACACGTGTAGACATGTGCCGGTACTGAGCAGTCATTGTTGGTTACTGCACAGTAACCTAAATTACTGAGCAGTAAAGGTGCATGTGCAGATGTACCTGCTGTATTTGTATTCAATGAGCAGTACTAAATCTTCCTCACATTAAAAGTATTTTTGGTGTAGAACTTCCATGGAAGGTCAACTTGGCTTGTAGCCAAATATATAGATCTAGATCTAGATATTCCTAACTATTATAATGGGAGGTAATGGCAGAGCAATGAAGGCATCTTACCATAGTGCCAGAAGTGCAAGCTCATGCCTTTGTCTGGTCTCAGGCTAAAGTTTGGCCCATGATCTAAATGTGCACATTATCATTCAGGCTAAAGGAAGAACAAAGGTAATTGAATAGGCTGCTAGCCACATTCTTTTGTCTGCCACTGACTGCTGAAACTGGCATGCCCTAATTACACTAACCGTATAGGTCTCTTGACTTAGGAGGGCCCTTTTTACAGAGAGTAGTGCTCTATAAATACCAAAGACAGAGAGATCTCTGTGTGTAGAGAGATTCCTTAAAACCAGAAGTAGTCAAATGCTCATTGGAATTTAATCAGTTGTATTAACATGCATAGATTTGTTTCATTTTGGTACATTCTACCAAAATGGTCACAAATGCAGAGGGTAAAACAGATGGTTCAGCTGTCAGCATTGTACAGAGAGAAAGAGAGTGAACACAATATATAATATAATGATTTTCTCCAAAGCAAACCTAAGACATCTAGTAGTTAAAGGGAAAAAAGAAATTAAAATAAAAGATAAAATGGTTTAGCAAGAACATATCAATTACCTGGCAAAAACCAAACAAAAAAAGCCTTGGTTTACATGAAGTATATATATATTGCCATAGTGCTCAATCTTTTGACCCTACAGGCCAAATGAGTGGCAGGGGGCCAGTCTGCAGGAACTAACATGTGCAGGATCAGGACTTATACCACCTCCACCTGGCCCCACGCACCAGAATGATGACAGCTCCATGAGCCAGATCTGGCTCAATAGAAGAAAGGTTGACCACTCCTGATATACTGTAATGTCAACCACTAAAAATAACACAAGAACCTGAAATTCAGAAACCAGAGTTAAATTTAACAAATACTGGATTTTTGAAAATGTGGACATTCTCAGTTAAAGTCACCAAAATTACCTTGATTCTGTCTTGGGATCAATGCCCTGAAAATAAGCAAAATCTCAGAGATGCTCCTATCTACCCACAAAATAGAGTTGGGAGTAGGATCATACTGGCCACATCCTCACAAGATGTTTACTGAGCAGTACCTCATTACTACTGCACAGTAGCATTGCGATGCATGAACCATGACATGATGCTACTGCGCAGTAGTAACAAGCTACTGCACAGTCAGCATCACCAGGAAGCTGTGTAGTGATGCTCCTGAATGGTAATTTACTGCAGTTATTTAGTACTTGGGTATGCAAGCACGAAATGACTGTGCAGTAACAACTGTGCAATCTGTGTCTTGTATAGACACAGTCACTGTGTCCAAGCTGCTTTGTGTATGTTCCAACTACATTGAGAGAATGACAAGAAAAGGAGCAAGTGGGTATCAGGCATTACTGGAAGTGGTCAGTATTTAAGAACAGGATTTAATGGACTGATATCACTTTGATAACATGGAGCATTAATTGATAATTAATTGATAAGGTGGATGCCGACCCTCTGTATAATGAACATTTCTTAGTTAGTGAACACAGCTACCTTTCCCCTAAGGTGGAACCGCTAATTGCCCAGCTATTTTCAGTAACTAGTAGATCTTAGAGAAGTCTGCAAGCTCCATATAATCCCCCCAGAAGCCTAGACTGCATGCACTCTGAAAGGTCCATAGCATAAAGGAACAGACGTGTGAAAAGTAGAGTCCTCACACTATCAGTCACCCCAGACAGCCACTAGAAACAGACTAGTTACAATTGCATTAGTCTTAATCAAATGAAAACAACTGCTCAGATGCTTGAAGAAAGAATGAAATTTATCTGCTGTGTCACTGTTTTAGAACATCTTGCTCTTTGCTTATATCAATAACCTTTGGTATACAATTCTAGCAAAAAAATGCCTTTTACTTCATTAGCTAGGGAGTTGATCTCTAATAGGTAGTTCATTTCCTACTTCCTGTGCTAAGTGACAGTGTATACACTGTAAAATCAAAGCCCTAGTATTTGTCTTACTGAAATACTAGCATCTCAAAAGTTGGTGGAGTGCAGACTATTTACTTAGTAGTCATAAATCAAAAAAATTCCAAGAGGATAGTTGTGGATAGGAAGTAACATAGTATGCAATACTCCTATGTAAGAAAACTTGAAATACTCTCTGTTGGTGTTTTAATGTACCTTGTAGTAGAATGGTCATTATTACCTTGAGGGGAATCCAGCTTTTACCTCTTTAGTCTGCATACCTGATTACCTTTCCTACAGGGAGTCTTCACTATAACTGAGTCTCTTAAAATCTAAAGTCTGTTTGTAATCCATATTTTCAGGTACTATTTCATTCTGAGAGAAGACAGAGCCCCTATTCCTTTCACAGTGACTGTGACTCCCTGTGATGTTCCCATTGAATGGAGCATACTGGTACACAAAACTTCAACAAATTTCCTTGGGAAAACAGCACATGGTAAGACCCAAATTAAAGGAACATTCAGTCTACCTGATTAGTGACAGAGGGAACTTACCTACTTTTAAAAAGTGTTGCCATGCTAAGAAATCTCAAAAACAAAACCAAACCAGCCTAGGTAGGCTTGAAAAGCTTGAAACAAATTTCTCCTGCTATAGATTAACCTTTTGGTTTAGAAAACTACGTACAATTCCATGGGTGACATCCTTTCCTATTGAAGTCACTGGGGCTTTTGCCCCTAGTTGGGCCAGAATTATACCTCAGATTGTTTCTGCTGCAGTTTCTCAGGTTAGTGGACAGGAAGGAAAAGGAAAGTATGTGGTCATCAAGGATCTTTGTTGAAAATTGCAAAAACCAAATTAAAAAAATTCCAAAATTCTCTGATTTAAAAACCTCAAATCCACATTTTCCTGCAATTTCAATTAATTTCAAATTCAGGCCAAATCCTAATCAAATAGGGCCCAGTTCGCACACCCCTAAAATGAGTTCTAAATACCTATATATTTTTGCATTTTATTTCTGTTTTTTTATCATGGAAGAGCTGAGCTCTCCATGTCAGAACTCACCCTTATATGCTGGTGCCCTGCCCCTGCCCATGCTGTTTCCCCTCAATCCCAACTGACAACCCCACCCCACTAGCCCGGTTGCTGCCCCTCATTCCCAATCTGCAGCCCTGTGGCCCTGACAATGCCCCTTGCTCCCAACCCACAGTCCCCCACAACCCTAGGGGAGTTGCTGCCCCTCACTCCCAAATGTAGCTTCCTGCCCCCTGCCCAGCCCTGCTGGAGGGGACCCCCAGCTGCCAGGGATACAGGACCAGGGCCAGTTCCCACAGCCCTTTGCCCCCCACGACCACTCCCAGTAGTGCCCAAGCCCCAGCTGCTATATGCAGGAGGCAGTGGCTACTTCAGACAGAGCAGAGTGTGGAGGCCAGCCCCCTCCCCTGCCAGTGGGCAGTATGGCTGGAACACAGATGAGCAGAGCCTGTGGGTGGGGGAAGGATGTGAGCTGCCCACTGCAGGGCTTAGGGCTTCCCACTCTCCTGCCCTCTGCTGAGGGCCTCTGTGGCCCAGTGGGCAGGACCCAGCATGGGAGGGCAGAGAGGCTCAATGTTGCCACTGCTGCCATCACTGCTACCACCAGAAGCCTCATGCCAGCCATGCTCCTATGGTGACAACCACCAACCCCAGTGCTGCCAAGTGGACAGGGGATACTTCAGCATGATAGGGCTCCTGGTGCAGGGCTCCTGGTGGTGGCAGCAGCAGCAGCACCAAGCCTCTCTGCTGTCTTGTGCAGGGTCCCACCCACTGGGTCACAGAGGTCCCTGGGGGGAGAGCAGCAGGGCAGCAGCTGTGATCCCTGCAGTGGGGAGCCTACATTTTTCCCCATCCTGTGCACACATCTGGGGTGGGGGGGTATCTGGGATGGGGAGGCAAGGGCCCCTCCCTGGGAGTGCACACAGTGATGGGGAGCCAGCCCCCTCACCACCCTCTGGACAATCCACCTGTAGCTTCATCCTGTTCCCCAGCCAGCTCCGCAGTCACGCACTCCCACCTGAGCCCTACCCCAGCTAAGCAGTGCCCCCAGCAAGGTTCTCTCTAGCCTGTTCACGTGCATGGCCATGCACAAAAAAAAATTATTGCCATGCAGTAGCACCCACTTGGAGAGGAGCTGGGCTGCGGCTTCCTGAAAACTTTGGGCACGGAGTGCGGAAGAGGCACCAAGGCCAGTGCAGGACACTTACCATCTCTGCTTCTCACTCCTCTGCTCCACTCCTCACTGCACCAGAATCTCCACAGGGAGTGAGAGTGGTGCAGGGCAGGCAGCTGGTGCTCTCTGAGCCAAGATGGGGGTGAAGGCAGGGACAGGGGCTGAGGCTGGGGCTGGGGCAGAGCCAGGCACTGCATGGGCTCTGCCAGGTATGGGTAACTGCTCCACTCCCTAGCCACTTCAGGTGACCTTTGCCCGACGCATCCCCTGCTCCTATGGCCATGCAGCACAGAGCTATTCCTACTATGGGAAAGATTTCCATGGTGCAGCAGCAGGGAGGGTGATTTTGACCCCCCACTCTAAATACGGTTCCTAGGGCTGGTGCCCTGCTTGTATCTCCTCAGTTAAGTTACTGGCGTTCAGCTAAATTCAGTTCCATCTATAACTTGCTTTTGTATCCAAAGAAGTTACCTTTACTGCTAAATTTAGGCCACATCAGAGCTGGGTTAAAGATGGTATATGCTCTTTATTTACAAGGAACTAAAATCATTATAGAAACCTTTTCAGGCATTCTTGGCAGAGAATCCTATCCTCAGCCACCAAGTTTTATGAATTCAGGAACAGACTGAAGCGGTGTGCTCACAGACTGAAGCGGTATACTCACAGACCAAAGTGGCATGCTCATGGATTGCTATGCCTTAGAGGGAACATTGGCCCCCAGCCCCAGCTGCCAACCCTGTCCCACTCCCTCATTGTGCGGGGCATCAATCTGTCTTCCTGCCCTGCCCCACCATTGCCTATGCCCCCCCATACTCTCATAGACTTATCTACAAGTAGTTGGGGGAGCTGCTGTCCACCACTGCCTCGCTGTATTGCTGACCACGTGCAGGTGTGCATACACACACATGCATGTGGTATCTACTGAGTCCTGCTCCTCCTAGCCCCAAATAGCCCCTTTCCAGCTGGAACTCTGATAGCCTGCAAGGGGAAACCCACAGTTTCCTGTGTTTTTCTCCTTTAAAGGAGAAAATCCACATTTTTCCGCAGTAGGCAGACAACCCTGGTGATCAAACGTATAAGTTCCAGTTGTAAAAATCCTCTTCTCATGCTGGACATTGTTCCTTCCACAACAGAAACATTCCTATCCACTTTGTGAAATGTAACAGTTGAAAGTGGTAGGGTTAACATTACAATTAAACTGTATTATCTTTGATTTTTACTTAGACATCTACAGGCTTTCAAAAAAGCATGGAAAACACAATGGTTACTCTCAGTTTCACAATTTGCAAGCTGAAATCCACTATGGCTAGGAACAAATGTTGCATATTTGCCTGGATGAATTATGTCTATGTCTATCCCAGAACAAAAATATCCTGGGATTGGCATGTACACACATCACCCTTCTAAACAGGGTTTAGTAAGTGGCTGATTGTGCTGCTGTTTTCCTGCCATCCATTCCATAATGCAATCCCAGGAAAACTGTGTGGACCTACTTTGCAGTATCCTAAAATGTACTGTTACTATCTCTTACCTGGGAAACATTTTTAGGATTTATCTCAGTTCAATAGACATGGATGTCTGTGTAGATTGAAGTTTGTCTTGGAATTAAGTGATTTAGCCCAGGATAAATGTGATGTCTGTTTGCAACCTTTAAACCCAAGGAGTTCAAACTACACAGAGGAGAAATTTCCATAAAAGTATCAAGAAAGCAGGGAAGAACATTCCAACTTCTTCTGTACATTGAGAATACTTGGGATGACTCTTTTTTTTTTCCTCATCATGATAATGTGCAGCAGGTGGGAGAATTTAGTTCATGTTTATTAGGCGTGAGTGAAGCTTCAGTTGCCAATTCAATTCGGAAAAGATTTGGCCTGATTCAGAGGCTGAATCATCAAATCCAAATCAAATCGGTAGACCAAAAAAACCCTTTGAATTGATTCAGAGCTTCCAAATTGATTCAGAAAAGAATTGGAAAATATTCACAGATTCAGAGATTTGGAAGGCAGTCTTTCAGGGGAACAGGAACTGAGAAGAGGGAGGGGGAGCAGGGGTGAAAGACTGACATCTGTAGCTGATCAGTAACTGTGATCTGTAGGAACTGTGAACTGGGATCTGTAGAGTCCCCTTCCAATCACAGTGCTCTAGCAGCGGGGTGTAGAAACAGCATATAAGCCCCAGCCTGCAGCCTTTCTGTCCCTTTTGTGAGCTGTTTCTGCCTGAGCAACAGTGTCTGAAAGGTACTGCTGGACTAGTTTGGTTTCCTAGTCAGTTTCCTGCTAGTTTCTGTTCTTGGAAAGGGTTGGATACAGCTTACTAATCATCCTTGCTTAGAATCCCTCTACTTATCCCTATGCAATCCATTTCTTTCAACTTTTTCTGCTCCCAAAGTCCTCATATTTATTCTTGTTATGTTTCTTTCCCCACACTTTAAAGGAAAGCTGTTTTCCCTGGCAGCGTGATCCATCACTGTACAGGAAAGCACATACATTACACACAAATACACACATACAGTACACAGGGAAGAAGAAGAGATATTAGACACATACAATAATCAGAGAGGAAGAAGAGATATTAATATTATTAATTACAAAGATATATTAATATTATGAATTACACAGACATACAGTAAAAACAACAGAAAAGACAAGATAGTAGTCAGACACACACAGTAATGAGAGAAGAAGAAGAGATATTAGTTACACAGAGAGAGAAGAAGAGATATTACAGCTGCACACACACAGAGGCATATTTTCCAGCACAGCAAAAATCAGTATGAAGCATGCTGGAAAGGCAAGTGCCTGGTCTTCTGGCAGTGGAGGGAGAGGGGCTAGAGGGGGTAGGGGAAGAGCTAAAGTTTCCCCAGCCCAAAACATAGATGCACCCTCTTTCCTGGCAGTGATGAGTTTTCTGCTGCCAGTGGAAGCAAGGAGGTGGGTGCAGTACCTGTCCCTGCACTGGCACCAACTCCTCCAACACCAGAAATAGGCACCAGCACCAGAATTACAGTCTCCTCCACCCCAATTTCATCTCCCACCATGAGCCTCCCAGTGCCAGAGGAGGAGCTGGATCTGGAAGCAGGGACCTGAGTGCCCAAGCAAAAGAAATTCTGGGGAACAAGGGGGAATGTGAGTTTGTGCCCCACACCCCTTAAATTTCCCCTAGACCCAGGTCTCCTTCTCTGGAAAGCACCTTGGAGGAGGTTGAGGTTGTGGAGGCAAGTGGCTCAGTTGAGTCAGCTCCTCCTGTTGTTGTGCCTCACCCTGATGAGGAGGGCGATAAGACAACATCCC